AGTAAAGGTAAATACAGAGGTAAATATCAAAGTCAATGACAATGTACTTTTGGTTTGTAACCCTTCTCTTTTTCCTACATGACTTAAACACAGATGCCTAAACCAATAATTACATTTCTACATTAATCGGCACACATGCATAAAGATGTAATTTGTGATAAAACAACTAAAGGGAGAGACACAGCTATATAGAAGCAAAGTTTCTACACACTTTTGAAATTAAATTGGTATCAAAGCAAACTAGATTGCTATAAATTAAAATGTTAACTGTAATCCTCAGGGCAATCACTAAGAAAATAACTAAAAAACATACTAAAAATAAGAGAAGGGAGTCAGAATGGTACAGCAGCGAGAGACAGCTCCTCATGCATTCTCTCTTTCAAGCCCTCAGAACCACGACCACAACTGCAATTACACCATCAAATGGATTAATCCATCCACTATGGCAAGGTCTTCACAATCTAATCACCTCTTCAAGGCCNCAAATGGATTAATCCATCCACTATGGCAAGGTCTTCACAATCTAATCACCTCTTCAAGGCCCCACCTTTCAATTGCCATAATAGGATTTCCCATTCTCTTAACACTGTCACAGTGGGGACCAAGCCTTCAACATATTAAACTTTTGGGGGACACAATTCAATCCATTGCATTCCATTCTTGTCCCTCAAAAGTCACGTTCTTTTCACATAAAAACACATTCATTTCATCCTCAAAGTCTTGACTTTTTCAACTCAGAAAGTCCCAAGTTCAAAGTCCCATCTGCGAAATCAAGTTATTTACTTCTAAGATACAATGGTGGGACAAGCATAGGGTACAATTCCCATTTGAAAAGGGAGAAATAGGCCCAAAGAATGGGATAACAGGTCCTAAGCAAGTCTGAAAATCAGTAGGGCAGGCATCAAATCTTAAAGCTGGAGAATCAAGTATGTTGATTCTATGTTCAAAGTCATCCGCACGCTGATGTGCGGGGTTGGGTCTCCATGTCCTTGGCCAGCTCTGTTTCTATAGCTTTCATGGCCTGAGGCCATCTCAGCTCTCCTAGGCTGGGATAGGACCCTGGTTGCTCTACAATTCTGGGGTTCCAATTTCAGTCCCACTCTCATCCTGCCCCCACGGCTCCACGAGGCATGGCACTGATGGGGTTTCTCTGCTGCAACTCTGACCCTACATTTCCTCTCAGCACTGTTCTAGTGAGGTCTCTATGTGGTGACTCTGTCTCTGTGACAGATGTCTTCCTGGGCTCTCAGGTTTTCCATACATTCTTTGAAATCGGGGTGGAGGCTCCTAAGCCTTCACAGCTCTAGCATTCTGCAAGCCTGCAGACCTAACATCACATGGACGCTGCCAAAGCTTCTGGCTTGTGTCTTCCAAAGCAGTGGGTCCAGCCACACCTGGGGCCAATTTAGCCACAACTAGAGTAGCCAAAGCAGCTGGAGTGCTGGTGCCAGAAGAAGCTTCCTGAGGTGGCCCTGGGCAGTGAGCCCATGGAGGGTGCCTCAGGCCTGTTCCCCAAGACCATTCTGTCACCCTGGGCCTATGGGCCTGCAATGGAAGATGCAGCCTCCACGATCTCTGAAATGCCTTCAAGATCTTTTTTCCTGTCT